AACAGTCCATCTGTTGGTACTCCTTGCTACCTACACTTTTCAACGAACTCCAACAGGTGGTGTTTGGTGGTAGTGGTGTTGCAGTGCTGTATTAACTTGGTGGTTTAGTGCTGTTTGATAATTGTGTTGTTGCTGTTTGATATTGGTGTTTGTGTTTAGTGATATTGTTTGGTTTTGGTGTTAGTGGTGGCAGTGTTTGTTTGATGTTGCCTGGTACTGATGTTTGATGCTTTTGTTTGTGGTTTTTGGTTGTTTGGTGTTGCTGTTTGGGTGGTGGTATAGGGGAAAGGGGTGTCATTATGCACATCAACAGATGTGGTCAGAAGTGGGTGTGATAGCAAGTGGGTAGGTGTTAATGTTGGTGCTGGAACAGCCCAGATTATAATAATCAAAACAGTGCTAAACCCACAAGGGTCATATAGCGCTGCCAGGGATGGCCCACAGTCGAGCTGGCAAGGAGATGGTTTGAGGGTTGCTTCTGATGGATTTTAAGTATTGCCTCAGCCATTACCTCTCCAGCACTGAATGGTATTGCATACAATCACTACAAAAAATTATTACAATCATAACTAAGTACTAAACCCACAAGGGTCATACAGCACAGTCACTACAGAAAAAGCCTTTATTGGGCAAATATTTGACAATTAGAGCTTTGTCAAGTCATTCCAGTACGACTTATTAAACTTAAACTATCCTTATAAGAATTTATTACAAGTTTTTCCTCACTAACCATTTTTTTTCCCCCAGTAAAATGATGCTACATACATTTTCATTAATTTATGTACTGCCATTGTGATAATCTTGCAGGTTGGTTGAGACTGGTAGAGCCAGTGCTGGGACCAGACAAGTTCCTCCTCCTCCTACAAATGGATGCACTTGGATACCACAACAGAGTCATAACAAGACATCTTGCTTATGTTGACATTGATGTTTCTGTTTATACATTTTAGTAAATATCAATGCAATAACCAGTGCTAAAAATATACAATTTCGAAATTCTCTGTGTGAATATTAAAATTTTTTAATTTGAACTTTAATTTTCTACTTACTACAATATTCCTAATCACACCTTATTCATTATCATAACATTTGTTGTATACAATACATTTACAGTATATTTTACTGACCATAATTATTAACCCATAAACAGTCCAAACATATATACGTTCAGTGCCCAGAGTATTTTGAATTTTTTTTTTAATGAAAATAAAGAGCACATTTTTTTAAGTGTTATAGGATTAAAATAAAAAAATTAGGGTCAGTACTTATTGAGATACGAGACTGCAAAGTTGGTACTTAATGCTCACCTGACGGCAACATAGTCCTGCCGCTTGCAGAAGTGTTCCCGATATACCATTTTTTCTCGTTTTTATATTTTATATAATTTTTATGTTCAGATAATTACAATTTATTATAGTTCTTGTCATTTCATAACCAATCTTTGTTCTGACACTAATACTGTATTAGGTACTGAAATTGTACTCAAATTATCACAAACACATTGACAGGTGGATTTATACCTGCCTTCGTCATTTACTATTGTCTGGGAATATATACAAAGTATTTATAGGTCCCAGCAATGTTTTGGATACACGGGAGTATAGAAGAAAGGGAGGAGGAGGGGAAGGAAGAAATTCCCTTGAAGCAATGTGTAAGACAAGTGTTCAGTGAAAAGCATCCAGGAAGGCAGCGATAAGATCAGATACGAGATGACATTTGATGGGCTCCAGCAAGGGTGCAGAGATGAGATAGTGCAGATAGAGATAAGCTATGACATTTGATGGGTGCCAGCGAGAGTGCAGAGATAAGGTATGACATTTGATGAGCTCATATCTCTGATTATCTCTCATTTCTGTCTGCTTGTCTCTTTCCATCTCTCTGCTCGTCTCTGTCTCAGAGCCACTGTGAACCAACAGGTATTCTTATGCATTATATCTACAAGCACAGTATAGCACTTTGGATTTTTTAGGTTATCCTAGGTAATTTACACTAACTGTATTTGTGTACCTGTGAGACAGACAGACAGACCCTAAACTTGGTGTTAACATCACTTTCCTCTCAAAGGGGGAGTGTTAATATGACATTACATCAGTGAATCCTTGGTGTTTGCCCCTCTGTTTGCTCCAGCTGGCATTCAGTATAACTGGCACTCCCACAAGGTACTAAGTGGTCCCAGATTTTTTTTAATATTGTGCACACCAAGTGTGAAGACCCATTCTATGTTGACTAGGCATCTCAGGCCAATCATGCCAAATTTAGAGGCAGGAAAAAATAAAATGTATATTTATGTTTGGAGCACTAGTGGTAAGAACATATATACGTTTGGACTGTTTATGGGTTTAAGCCCATCTGACTTTAGTACAATACCTTCATTTTTTTTTATTAACACATCGGCCAATTCCTACCAAGGCAGGGTGGCCAGAAGAAAACCTTTCATCATTCACTCCATCACTGTCTTGCCAGAGGGGCACTTTACGCTACAGTTATAAAACTGCAACATTAACACCTGTCCTTCAGAGTGTAGACACTGTACTTTATTTTTATAAACTTGTATTTATATTTTGAGATTAGTACAGTATTTTGTAATGAAATGTTAACACCTACTCTGTTAAGCCAATCCCTGAACACGGGACTTTTATAGAGGAAAGCAGCCTGATTAACGGCATCAGAGTGTTTTAATTATTACACATGGGTTATTACTACACTCGTATGAATCATTGTGCCAGGAAAGGTGGCAGCAATCAGAATCAGTCTAACCCTTTCAGGGTCGGCAGGCCCTCTCCTAAACTTCTTGGTCGGAAATTTTTCGAAAATTTTTTTTTGTGAAATAAGAGGATCTTTACCCGATCATAACGACACCAAAAGTATGAAATTTTATAGAAAACTTACGGAATTATGCTCTCGCGAAGTTAGCAGTCTTGGCAATGTTTACGCAGCGGCGATTTCGCCCACTTTGGAATTGGCCGAAAATAGGGCTCGATGTACCAATTGACAAAAATGATAACTTTCGCTAGAACTTTTTTTTTATATCTAATGAGTACAAGAAACCACCCATTTACTGATTTCAACTATCCAATAAAATGGTCAGAAATTGGCAATTTTGCCAATTTCACACAAATTTCAAAAGATGCCAATTTCCAAATAGGGTCCAGAATAAACAAGACATTCCTGGCACTAAAATAACCTTTCCTCTGTTCATCAGTCACATCCCCAGGCCTCTGTTACATTTCTTTTGCTTTCCACTTTGAATTTTTCTCGAGAGAGAAAAAAAAAAAAAAAAAAATTAGAAGATTTACTGTTGTGCAGAAATGGTATAAATAATATCAGCACACTTGTGAAAGAATATTAGACTCACCAGTTGACGTGTATTGGATGCACGGCACGATCTGTATTTTTGAACTTATGCAAAAATCAAACATTTCTGCTACTTTGAGCTCAATTTCAAGGTACTTTCCATTGTGAAACCAATGAAAATCATCTCAACTTCTGTAATATGTCTTCCATTCTATAAAATGAGACCGGGAAAACTAGAATACAACCATAAATAGCATATGAAAATACACTGCAAAGTCTCTTGTTTTAAACCAAAAACACTGTCGGAGCTTTTTTTTCTCATTATGCACTGTGCTGCAGGATTTTTTTTTAATACTGCGCACACTGACCACAGACCCATTCTTTCATATGTAGGCCTACCAGCTTTCTCTCGCTAGATTTGAAGGCACTAGAATTTATACCTACTAATACGGAACCAACCCTGGCATGCAAGCCGTACTAGTATGGCGCCAACCCTGAAAGGGTTAAGGAGGGCCATTTCAATTTCTGTAAATCAAGAGCCATCCACTGGCATCAAGGCACTTTCAGGGAAGGTCATTACATTCATGGGATACCTTGAGAACATTCCTAGGTTGTCAACACTCCCATTGCCTGGTCCTAGACCAGACTTCCTGGAGGATCAAGGCTTGATCAACTAGGCTATTATTGCTGGCCACATGCAGTCCAATGTATTAACCACAACCCAGCTGGTCGAGGACCAATTTCAGGAACTTGTCCAGTTTCCTCTTGACAGCTGTAGGTTTGTTGGCAAGTCCTTTTATGCATGGTGAGGGGATCATTGAAGAGTTTGGACCTCCAACATTAAGAGTTCTTTGTGTACTTGTGCCCCATCTGCCAAGTCTCATTATAGTAACACGAGTGTGATTTCTGCATTAAAGTTTGGGACCAGCCCCTCCAGTATTTTTCAGATTTAAATTATGTACCTTTACCTACCTGTGTTCCAAGAAGACAGGACTTCATGTGTTACCAGTAGTTCAGATGCTCTAGCGTATACGAGCAGTAAAGGTTTTCCAGATTTTCCAGCTCGGCAATCTCACCTCAAAGTGGGCCATTAGTATACAGCGGCTGCATTCTAGCTGGAGAGATTAAGTGTCTTAATATCATATTGGCTTAGCATTTCGTCTTGCAACAGTAGCGTGGTCTTCAAGACATCTTGCATCATTACTAGTCTCAGCCATGGGATTTTTGCTCTATTGAATGATTCAAGTTGGTTTTAAAATTATTTAAACTTCCATAGCAGAATTACTGAAACTATAATTAAATATCCATCTGTCCACTTTTCTGGTTATTCCTTTTGCACACATTTTGTGCAGTCACACTTATGCTGGAACTTTACTATTCTCAGAGCAGTACCGAGCGTTTTTCCATTGCACCCACGAGCAAGACATGTCCGATATGTAAGCAGGAGTGTGTAGTCTCCCAAACACGGCAGTGATAAGGTGACCAGAAACCCAAACCAGGCTTGACAGTGAAATTTATTATAGACCAGCTCAGACCACCACTGATGCCAACTGTATTGAAGTGGTCTTAGAGATTACTGCACAATAACCCACCCCCTTTTAAGCTTAAGTGTTTCAGTTAGTATATTTGTAACATCCCATTCATAAGACTGGTAGATCTGCCTTTTCTTACAGCAGCACTGTACACAAGACAATAAAACAGCCATGTTACAACGTGTAAACTTCTTAATATCCTTTATTACACGGCAAATCAAGGTATCATAAAAACAGCAAAGCACCAGTCAAATTTTGCTTATTGCCAGGACAAAAAGTTTCGTGCAAAACTGCTTTCTTCTGTATGTGTAAACCCCCATAAAAATTAATACTAAAACTGAATTTAATCTGAAATATGTAAGTGCTTTTGCATACCAAGACTTAAAAATTAATTACTATAATTTATAATATAAAAGTTAACTTTTTTTTAGATTATAGCAAAAGGTCTGTTATATCTAGCTATTCCAATATACTGAAATTAAAATTTTTAATATTTTCAATTTGCATATAGTTTTAGCTTCCCTAATTATTAGAAGATGGCAGAATAATTTTACCAAATTGCTGAACTGGGTAAAATGATGCAACAGCAATTTTTATGGTGCTTAGGCCTTATTCTCTAGCAGGCAGAAGCACATGTCATGGAACAATCAAGGAAACTAATATCAGCAGTAATTAAGAAAAAATTACTACATGAGCAGTACAGATATATCTTAATGACAGATTTGAATATAAAATCATTTGTTCAAGTACAAAAGTACCACCAAATAATAAGCACTATTAATACAATAACTCATTTGTGTACTCTAGAATTTACAAAAGTTTAAATAGTTTCTTGATCTAGCAAAAACTTTTATCCCTATTCACAATACATAATACAAACTATACAAAAAACATTTTTCCTCTTCCCAACCACACTCCTCCCCTTAGAAACAACAATTTAAAGAACTATGTCAAATGATGCATCACACAAACCCATTCAACAGAGCTTAGAAAAGTCACAAATCCCACCATACGATATGGGAAGAATGTGGTTGGGCGAGCATGCCAATCACTTCACTTCTGCGGCAGTATACACTTGGGTTTCTATTGGCAGACTGTTGCATCACAATGAGGCTAAGTTACCCCCACTTATAATTTATACATCATTTCTGAATGAAGTCTTGCCGCATATACTGAGAGAAAAGTATTAATTTAGCGATATCTCCGCTTAAGACTAATCTGTCTATGCTGAGTAACAAAATCAAGTCGTGTAGAATCTATTATCCTCTTAACCCCAAGATACCTGGCTTGCAGAACCTTGTACACTGACCATGAATGTCATGGTCTGTGTTAAGGCACAGCAACACTATTCCTATCACTTTTTTGTGCACACAGAGGACAAAAGCCTCTTCATACTGCAGGCTTCAGACATAGAAAAACTCATGGACTAAGAGTATGCATTCTCCAAGAGATTAAATATGAGGCTAATACTAATAGCTGGTAAGTGTGGACGTGTTCTTAAATATCTTGGGGAACAACTAATTTGGCAACCCACTATAGCGAGGTTGTGTTGCTGCTGGACATGATTGCTGACTCCAGTTAAGGAGGGGACACGACTAAGCTTGACGGTGGAATGGCTTGTGGCTTTGCACAGTGTATTCTTTTATTCTTCAACCTTATCTCCGTCCTCAGTCTTCTGTAAAAGGTATGATATACATTAATCAAGGGCTCAGCCTAAAAATAAAATACGAATACATAAATATGGAAGTTTTAACATTTATAAAGCAATGATACAATTTCAGCACATGCTAATGAGAATAAAATTTACTCTTACACAAGCTGAAACTAGTCCTCAAAATTAAAGCCACTCACACTAACAAGCCCACGACAAAAAGAAAAACACTATTGCATTAAGTTAAAACACAGCAGCTATTAAATGAATTTAATGTCAAAAATTACCAAAATTTCCAAGGTATATGTATATATAATATATATATATATATATATATATATATATATATATATATATATATATATATATATATATATATATATATATATACATATACATATATACATATATACATATATACATATATACATATATATATACATACACACACACACAATATACACACATATATACACACATATACACACATATACACACATATACACACATATACACACACATGTACACACAATATACACACACACAATATACACACACACACAATATACACACACACACACAATATACACACACACACACAATATACACACACACACACAATATAACACACACACACAATATATACACACACACACAATATATACACACACACACAATATACACACACACACAATATACACACACACACAATATACACACACACACAATATACACACACACACACAATATACACACACAAATATACACACACACACACAATATACACACACACACACAATATACACACACACACACAATATACACACACACACACAATATACACACACAAATATACACACACACACACACCAATATACACACACACACACAATATACACACACACACAATATACACACACACACAATATACACACACACACAATATACACACACACACAATATACACACACACACAATATACACACACACACAATATACACACACACACAATATACACACACACACAATATACACACACACACACAATATACACACACACACACACAATATCACACACCACACACAATAACAACACACAATGTACACTGTACACACACACACACACACACACAACACACACACCACACACACACACACACACACACACACACACACCACACACACACACACACACACAATGTATACATATTTTAAATTGAGAGCAATCGCCTGCCAAGGCAGGGTGACCCAAAACACTCATTAAAATTCACTATCACTCTTTCCAGAAGTGTGTTGACATTACCCTTCAAGACCACAACATCCCTCACCCCTTCAGAGTGCAGCAACTGCTCCTGCCACCTCCAGAATAGTCCAGCTAACCGGTTTCTACAGATCTTTTCATCACGTCCTAATGAACTCTTAAAACCACTCTTCTCCAGTCACTAACATGTTTACACATGCCTGTTGGATGTATAGGCTTCTAACAGTTTCACAATTTCTCAAAATTAACATAACTTAAGCAAAATCTATACCATCTACCTTCTATGGATTAATATTAGTGTTAATGCCACTCGAACAACCATCAGAACTAAAGTGTGCATACAAAGTACTTTTATATAAAACATTACATTAGTAAGGTGAAACAAAAACAATGATCTTTGTGTTCATAGTATTTAAAGTAAGTTGGTATCCAAGGCTATAAATAATGGTACTAACAGACCAGTTAGTAACAAGTTCATAAAATCATACAAAAATGCCAATCAAGTTTTCCTAGCACTGGCCAACTTTTTGGCAAATGTTATCATGCTCTTTTGTCTTTGGTGGTTTAAAAGGTCTTCTGCAAGAACTATTTAAAAAAATAAAAAATTTTACTTGTTCAGCTTAAGCAAATTAACACCAGCATGTGTAGATCTGCATAAAATTATAGTAAATGTATTTAAAGTAAATCAATCGTTACACAGCTTGTATGGGAAATTTTAAACAACTGCAGTTATTACCAGAAGATTTAAATTTCCCTGGATAATAACCATAATTTAACTGAAATTTAGAATTCTAAATGTGGCTCATTTGGACATCTTTGTCATCTCAGAATATATCCCATATCTAATGTTTTTGTGCAAACTATCAAACTTGCAGCCTGACATATACTACCCAGTAATATGCACATCTATTATCAATGACAAATTAATTTTTTTTCTTCTGGAAATTGTACTGGTGATTAAGAAAACTAGAGGCTAACTTCTTTTTTTACTTAGAAATTGCTTTTAAAGCATTACAACTTCTGGGGAAAAAAGAAACTAAACTAATGGAACTCATTCATAAATAATTAAGAAAATGCACTAGTTTTAAAACTACAAAAAACATGCATGCATTATATACTACAGTGGGATTAAAAACAGACTTGTTACAGTTGTGTCAAACACCCATGCATACCTTTCCCACTACATCAACCATTGCATGCTTGGCAGCAGTCTGATACCCCATCAGGGTGGGCAAAATGCAAAATTGACAATATGCTCAACAAAGTAGCTGATCACAGTTTAGGGTGGTTCATTACTACTTGTCCAACTACAGTACCTATCATCTACAGAAATAAGCAGCAAGCTAAAACAATTTGAAAATTAAGAAAAAGTTCTCACCTTGTAATAGAGAAAAGTATTGTACTTCCAAACTTGTGTGATAAACAAGTGTAGAGAGGAAACTTTTACAACTGGTTAAGAAATATTAAGATTCTACATGCTTCTGTAATTACCAACAAATGGGTAATGTCTCACACAAACATGTACAAGTACAAATATCCATTACCCCTTCCCCACCCCTCAGCCATATTTTAATCAGATCAGACCTGCCCATAAGAATAAAGAATATTTAGAAAGCTGCCAAAGAGCAAAAAACTACAGAAAGATTCTGCAAGTTAATGACCATATTATCCATTCCAACGAGAGAGAGTAAAAAAGAAAGTAGTAGTAGTTGGAAAAATATCAGGACAAATCCACAAGTAGAATTTTAACACAAGAATACAAATTAATCTTTGCAAGACTAGAACAGACATTGGAAATAAGAAACTTAATAAACCAAACAAGTAACCACTTCTAAATTAGATACAATTGTATGAAAGAGCATCTCATTTTGGCCAAGACAATAAGAAAGGAGACATGGCCATATTGGTAAAGGAAGCCCACTAAGCTAAAGAAATCAACTAAAAAGCTAGTGTCTAAATTCTAGTGGTAGAGATCATGAGTACAGAAACTGCACTGTAAAGGCTTTCAATCCACAATTTACCAGATGGGTAAGAACTGTGCAAGATAAACTTGATATTACATAGTATTCAAGTACCTCATGGTTAAGCATTGCATTTCTGAGTAACTTTTTTGTTATATCGTTATATTAATTTTATTTCAAATTCCCCTTCAAAAATTTGACAGCATTTGCACCATAAAGTTTTAAAGGCAGTATGGTATATGAGCCTAAGAAAACCTGAGGACAAGAGTCCCAAAGACAAGCACAAAAATGACTCCCAGAGCTAAAAATAAGAGTTAAGAAAGGCTGAGAGAAACGGACATACCATCTTTGGCAAACTGGTAATATTTTTTGTATTAAAGGGTACAAAAGAACTGACAAGGAAACTTCCCTAACACTAACAGGCAAAACAGAGGGCATTCATGCGTGTAAAAGGGAGCTGCAAAAAAGATGCCAGAAAAATTCTTTGCAAACACAGTAAAACAATGCAATGAATTACGAGGTAGTAGTACTACAGGTGCTACAACCACTGGAAGTAACACCACCTTAGCTCCTGCAGCTACAAGTACAAAATTAAATATTTACTCTTACCCAAAACATCCTGTGAAAACAACCTGATTATTATATATTAAATCAGGATAGGTATAGCAAATTTACAAAAAAAAATCACTAAAGATGTGTAATGAAAATACACAAAGATAACTATTCTACTTCATGACTGGATTAACACCATCTCTGAATAATGGTCTGAAATGAAAGGATTCTGCAGTCTATATATTTTAAAGTATAATACACTTACAAATGAAAGGAATTATGTACTGGATTAGCCACAAATAAATTATAAAACTGGCAAAGAGCAAAGTTCTCTGGGTAGATGCGAGTAATTGTGGGCAAGTCTCACCTGTTGTGTAGTATCCTGTTGTGCACTCTGTTCAGGTGTGGACTCGCTTGTCTGAATCACTTCTGACTGTTGTGGGGGTTGAGCTGTAGCTTCCTCACTGACTGTAGAACTTTCCTGAACAGTAACCCCCTCCTGAGCAGAAGAGTCCTGGGCAAGAGTGACTTCTACAACAGGAGATGATACTTGTTCAGGAACTTCCACAAGAGCAGCAGCTTCCTCTGCAGGTGCCTGCTCCTCAGCAGGAGAGGACTCTGGTGAAGGTGCCTCCTCCTGAACTGGAGCAGTCTCCTGAGCAGGAACAGCTTCCTGCTGGGGTCGAGACTCTACAACAGGGACCTCCGTACTGGCAACACTTTCCTCCACCTGATGAAGGCACCCATCAGCACAAGGCATTCATGCACCAGCCACACCACAACACTGCATCAACTGACACTTGGCAGCTATTAGTGCTTGTCAGCATATATTTAGTTTGAAGCTAATAAGCTGCTGCAGTGCTGTTGTGTTCAGTTTGATAATTTGAACAGGAAGGAATGCTAAGGAATTGAGAAAGCAAAGTGTTGTACATTGAGATTTTGAAAATTACATGGTAGATGCAAACTTCACAATACGTAAGACCTGCCAAATCAAAAATGCAATCTACACAGAAGCCACATATATCCTAAGAATCACAGCAGTTTCAAGAAGAAAACCAATTTTAGTGCCAATGTCTGGTATAGCAGCACAACAGTGACCAAAGTGGTGAGAACAAAAACCAGCCCACAAACTTCCCATCAAACTATGATAAAACTTACATCTTCAGTCTTTTTCTTCTCCTGAACTGGCTCAGGAGTTTCAGCAGTAGTCTCCTCAACAGGGGCACTCTCAGCTGCAGCTTCTTCCTGTTTGATTGAAAATTAAAATTTAATATGTGAAACTTCTTGAAGATGCTTTCTAATCTAAACTTTAGAACACTGAGCTGTGCAATACATTTTATCAAGGCTTACACGACTCAAACTGATCCCCTACTGAGCGAAAGCCCACTGAAAGTTTCCTCTTGGAGTACATTTATGTGTACAATTTTTCTTCTACTGGAAAGAAATTTATTAAAGAAAAATGTGTCTTGTTTGATACGCCAACTACTAGAACAATTTAGCTATTCAGCACTTTCAACAGTTGCTAACAAATCTGCTCTATCTTCATAACTACTTCACAAGATAATATGCAAACTGTGTGTACAGTAGGCCCCACTTCATGGAGTTTTGCTTTACGGTGTTCTGCTAATATGGACATTTCAAATTATGACCAAAACTCGCTATATGTCTCCCCCCACTTGACTTTCTAATGTGGTCACTGCACCCCACCTGGTTTGTTTACATTCTCCATGAGCACCACATCTCCATTATGTCTGGAAACTTTCCAAAATTTCAATAATTATACTTACGTGTACCTAAATAAACTTGCACACTGTGCTGACATGCAGGTACACATTAAAATCACTAAGTGCATCTTATTATTCTTGAGGATGCCATATTAATAATAATACGCAATAATAATCACTGAGGCACATTAAATGTCGTATATTACGTTAATATAAAGATTTTCATTAATCCATCTATTTTTTTTTCAAAATTATATAACAAACATGCTATGTAACATACAAACATGATAAATACACCCCACAGTAGAATAAATTAACAAATACAAGATGCTAGGTGTAGATGAACACACATCAACCAAAAACAGATGCCATCTGCTTACACCCTCCTCTCCTCTCATTTACTCTTTCTCTCTCGCGTTTATTCATTTTTACATTATTTACTCACCTCTCACCCTACATTAAGACTACAAATATTTTAAGGTATGTAATGAGTGTACTGTATATGCATTTTATCGCTCTAGGGCGCGGGCAATCACTCGCCTGAGCCTAGAGCGAACAGGTGGCGGGCGATCACTCACCTGCCACCTGTTCAGTTTGTGTTTTTATATTGTCTGAACTCTCTGTATCTCTTCCTCTCTTGTTTACTATTTCATTAACTAGTTGGTTCTTGCTGACGATGGCTTAATGTGATAAACGAAGAGTTGTAAGCCTCTTAATTTAAGTGCCAAGTTAGAAATGATTAAACTTAATGAACTTACTTTTTTGGGTTATCCTAGGTTCTCTACACACATGCTGCTATGTATGATAATGTATGTAACTATTTATGTATATCTGAAACTTACTAACAAGGTATGTCGATGGCTGAGATAGCCATCAAATACAATTACATACAGCAGTGTGTGTGTGTGTATGTAGAGAACCTAGGATAATCCAAAAAAAGTCAGACAAAGCAACTTAATGCTGACACGTTCATATTAATATTCAAAGTGACTTAATGCTTCACACATTCATATTAATATTTTAAGGTATGTAACAAGTGTACTGTGTGTGTGTATTTTACTTATGTTCTTTAATGCCTAGTTCTATTGTTAACATAATACATGTTAGTGTGAACCTGTTATCTAGCATTAATATGCATCTACAAGTGGGAAAAAAGGGTGTTCCGCTTTACGGCAGTAGCCTGGAACCTAACCCGCCGTATAACTGGGGCCCTACTGCATTTATTATTGGGAAAAAGCCCAGCACTGTGCATAGCCAAATTCTGGCAGGCATAAGTTAAGAATAATAACTAAAACCTCACCACAAGGAGGCAAGCAAGAAAAAAAAAAAAAAGTGAATTACAGTGAAACTCAGAATAAGGGACTAATAGGAGGGAGGTGTGCCTGCTTAAATTAAAATCTTGTTGCACTGCAGTGAGTGGACATGCCAAGAAACACTAATACAGCACTAAATTAACTGAAAATGAAAGATAAAAGTACAGTACAGTACTTATGTAACAAGCATTGTAAATTCTGGGTTAATTTAGACCAAATGACTAGTATGCAAGCAAAGAAACCAACATGGCTGGGGCAACGGCTCTGCTTCCCCAGGAATAAGGAAAATGGACACTCCTATACAATTGCACTATAAACTTTCACAGAAAACACTAGTGAACTTTAATAGCCAACACCCTTGCTTTCACTTAAGCATTTTTCCTAGAAAATATATGGAAGCAAGTGCGCAATTTAGGGTAATTGGAGCATAATAAGCCTTACCTTTGCTGCTTCCTCCTTTACTTCATCTTGAACAACAGCTTCCTCTGCTGGAGCTTTTTCTTCCTGAAATTATGAATAAGCAGTGAGACAGTCTATATAAAATGTTGCCTGTGGATTCTCAATGGGGGAGAAGAGTACCTCAGTTCCTCTGTTATGGTACATAGCAGGCAATATGCCATATCTGGCCATCTTCCCCAGAGGTATCCACCAAGAAACATCCTCCTGGGAAAATGTCAGATTTATCTTCCATGTCTGTCTGGGCCAAAGAAATTGCTTTCCTGTGAGACCAAGATTTTTCCCAGATTCCTAAAACAATTTACAGCTCAACTTTCAGAGCATCTTTTTTTTCTTCAGCAGGGAAGGGCTCACTATTGGAGGGCATAGGCATGATGGCTTCCTTAAGAAGCAAGTCTAAAACTAGAAAGGTAAGTGAACAAGTGCCTTACTAGAATGTTAGGCAAATAAATGATTAAGGATGTTTTCTTACCAGTTTGGTTCTGTTAGTAAGTTAGTATACAGTACCCAGTACTTGTTGGCTCAAGGCAAACTTGCCTTGATATACCTTTGACGAGTCTAGTATCTTTCTAGTGATCTGGTGCTAGCCTGGTCAATCTGGCTGTTGCTGCTGGAGACCCACTGCCCTACATATCCATCACAGCCTGGTTGATCTGGTACCTTGTGAACATACTTGTTCCAGCAGTGTTTCTGATATCTTCTGGCGAGATGTTGAATAATCTGAAGCCACGAATGTCCATACAGTGTTCCGTTATTGTGCCCACCACACCCCTGCTCTTCACTGGGTTTATCTTGCACTTCCTCCCCTCTCTCTCACTCCAGTATGTAATGGCAGTGTGTGGATTTGGGACCAGGCCCTCTAGTACCTTTCAATTATATATGCATCTCTCCTCCGCTCCAGTGAGTACACATTCGAGACTAAGGCGTTTCCAGAAATTTAACCCTTTCAGGGTCAAGAGGCCCTCTCCTAACCTTGTTCTCAGGGTTAGAAAATTTTTCAAGAAAAAAAAAAATCTTTTTCTGATCATAATGACACCAAAATTATGGAATGTGATGGAAAACTTATGAAATTATGCTCTCACGAAGTTAGCGATCTCGATGATGTTTACGCATTGGCGATTTCGCCCACTTTGAGCCCTATTTTCTGTAAATTCCAATGTACCAGTCTACAAAAATCATAACCATTTCACTAGAACTCCACTTTTTCTATCGAATGAGTACAAGAAATCACCCATTTACCGATTTCAACTATCCAATAAAGTGGTCAGAAATTGGCAATTTTGCTAATTTCACACAGGGTCCAGAATAAACAAGAGACATTCCTGGCACTAAAGTAACATTTTCTGTTCATTAGTCATGTCCCCAGGCCCCTCTTACATTTCTTTTGCTTTCCACTTTGGATTTTTATTCTCACAAAAAAGTAGAAGATTCACTGTTATGCAGACTATTACATTAGTGGAGAAATGATATAAATAACATCAGCACACTTGTGAAAGAATATCAGACTCGCCAGTTGACATGTATCGGACGCATGGCATGATTTGTTTACTTTTGAACTTTGGCAAAAATTGAACATTGCTGCTACTTTGAGCTCAATATCAAGGTACTTTTCATCGTGAAACCAATCAAAATCATCTCAATTTCTGTAACGTGTTTTCCATTCTATAGAATAAGACCAGGAAAACTAGAATACAACCATAAATACCATACGAAAATACACTGCAAAATCGCCGTTTTAAACCAAAAAGTTTTTTTTTTCTCATTATGCACTGTGTGCTGCAGGTTTTTTTTTATACTGTGCACACTGACCATAGACCCATTCTTTCATATGTAGGCCTACCAGCTTTCTCTCACTAGATTTGAAGGCGCTAAGATTTACCCTTTCTAGTACGGCACCAACCCTGGCATGCAAGCCGTACTAGTACGGCACCAACCCTGAAAGGGTTAAAGGCTTTACTGGCTCTATGCAGGCCATAAATGATCTATTTGTTCAAGCTCTGATATTTCTCCTGCCATGAACAGGGCTGTCAACACTGAGCAATATTCCATGTGGGGAAGCACTAGCAATTTGAAGAGTATCACCAGTGGCATTATTTCCCTTTTTTTCAAGGTTTTCAATACCTACCTTGTCATTCTCCTGGCTATCATGTCCTTCGTCTTATGTTCTTTGAAAGAAAGATCAGCTGACAGTTATTCCCAAGTCTTTCACATGTTCCTTTTGTTCTATTTAATGATCCTCTTGAGTTTTGTATACAGTGTTCCTCTTGAGTTAATCATTCTTTCTATAGTTAAGCAGTTGAAACTGGAAAACGCTGCTTATATCTTCCTGTAATTCTTCAGTGTCTTCTACCATTGTGACTTTCATGCTTACACCTACCATCCGATTACCCTGCTCGACTACGAAAAATTCGACTTACGCCCGTGTTTTTTATCCCAAATTTCGGGGAAATAAACAAGGGTTTTGTTTGTACACAGTGTTTTTTCCTAAACCTTACAGTATAAAATACAGTACTAACAGCATAAAAAGTAAACTAAAACATGAAATACCAAAATAAAACAAAATAAAGTCATTACAAAAATGTTTAGTTGATATTCAGTAGTAAAGTTCGACTTGCGTCCAATTCGACTTACGACCTGTTTCTCGAGAACCGAACTCGTTCATAGTCAGGATGGTATGTGTATTTTGCGTCAATCTGCATTGATACATTACTGCTGGGTGAGTACCATGTTCTGATAAATGGGGAATAACAGTAGTGCAGACATGCTGGGGATTAACCTTTTCATACTTGGCTGGATGCAGGAATTTGCTCTTTGCTACTACTACTATTTGTGTTGGGTGTCAGGACCAAAATCCATCTGCCTACTTTCCCATAATAATTTAAGACAATGTGCAACATCTGGATATCTTATGTAGTAGACGTTCACCACCAGGGCTGTATCAATACAGATTCTAGGCATAATAAACAGTAGAACATATACAAAAGATGAGGTAATCAGTCCCTCGCCTGGATTATTTTCACAGCATCGGGTGGAGGAGAGTTGAGAGCAAAGGCAAGAAGACTGGGCTTTTTTAGCGTCAGAATGGGACCGGCAGCAGACGAGGGCGTCACTGAGAGGATTCCCCAGTGGAATTTGGTCCTTCCCAGGACCTAGAATCTTTATTGATAAAGCCACTGGATGGCAAAGTCACTACAATAAAGATATCCAGAGTTGCACATGTGTCTTAACTTTCATATTGTCGGTATTTTACCTTTCTTGCACAACTTGTCAGACACTGCAACATCATGGAATCTTGTTTAGGCATTCAAGACCTTCTTCAGGCTTTTCTCAACTAACCCATCTCTTTGGGGAAAGGGCCTCTTCCACGGGAATCCCGCCTACCAGTGACCGCCCCCGTCGTGCCCTCCCATTTACTGCCCCCTATAAAAAGCCCAGTCTTCTTCCTTTGTCCAGACTCTCCTCCCCCACATGCTGTGAACACTAACTCCAAGCCGAGGGGGCTGATTACCTCATCTTTTTAATAGTTCTGCTTCCTATTATGTCCTAGAATCTGTATGATAAACCCCCGGTGGGGGAAAAATCTTTCTAAATAAAAAACCCAAGTTGCACATGTGTCTTAACTTTCAATTGCGGGTTTTTTTACCTTTTTTGCACAACTTGTAACACCCGCAACATCAGGAAACTTGGTTCAGAGGGCATCTACAAGACCTTCTCACGGGTGCTGCAACTAACCATCTCTTTGGGGAAAGGGCCCCACTTCCCCCTGGGGGAAACCCGCCTACCCGGGCCCCCTCTTGCTGCCCGTCCCATTCCTGACGCCTTAAAAACCCCCTTTCTGCCTTTCTCCGATCTCCTCCCCCACGATGCTTGAACACTAACTCCAAGGCGAGGGACTGATTACCCATTTTTTATATAAGTTCCCTCTGTTTTTATTATGTCCTAGAATTGTATTGATAAAGCCACTGGGGGGCGAAACCACAAAAATAAAGAATCCAATGTTACATGGTCTTAACTTTCAAATTTTGGGTTTTTTATACCCTTTTTTCACAACTTCCCCCCTTATAATGCCTATGGCCCTCAATTTGTGTGCTATCACCCCATGACTGCATTTGTCAAATCTCTTTGTAATGTCTGTCGCATTGCATTTTGGTTGCCTTCCAATGCCTCCATAACTGTCACTGGTTCGGCAGCTGTGACAGGTATGATCGTCCTGCTCTAACACCATGCTGGTTTGGGTTATGCCAGTTGTGCCGTTCCACAAAATTTGTAATCCGACATCTCGTCGCTCTTTCAAAGATTTTTGTTGCATTTTGTATGAGACTGGGGTCCGACATACTCGGGATTTTGTTTCAGCGTTTGCCATGTTCCATTTTCCCCATTACAAGGGTCAAATTGAAAGCAAGAAGCCTTACTCTGGAATTAATGTCATTAACAGCATTATTTTTTACATACCTAAAATTACCCTATATTGATAAAAGCCAAGTAAATTTTTTTTTTCCTCCCCCTCTCAACAAGTTGTCCGTCTCCCACCGAGACAGGGCGACCCAAACAAAAAAAAAAAAAAAAAAAAAAAAAAAAAAAAAAAAAAAAAAAAAAAAAAAAACTTTCATCCATTCAACACTTTCACCTCACCTTGCACCAAGTAAAATCTGTACTAAAATATATTAGTTTACAAATTTGACACCTGTAGTTTTGACTAGTTTCCACTCAAGTTTTCCGAAGACTTACCTCTGGTGCAGTTTCCTCAGCAGCTGCAGTTTCTTCTTTTTGTTCCTAAATTTATAATATTTATTAGAATATGATCAGTAATATTTGGCAAATATGTAAAAAATATTTATCAATATATAGTTATTATTTCAAGCTCTGATGAATCAAATATGACTTTTACAATGGCAAGACAGTTATAGTATAACCCTACACCAGTATACTTCAATATAGTATACAAGGTAAAAGTGACAGCAAGCATTTAAAAAAACATTTTAATAGCATCAATTCTCCACCATTAGGAAGCCCATTTAGCCTTATATTTTACTAGAAACCAGTTTAAGCATTAGACTGAGCTGGTTAAATCTTAAATTATCATGATGCTATTGTACCCCAAAACTGCATCCCATATAAATTAGCAGCAAAATGTTTGTATGGGAAGTGCTGAGACATCCATCCCCCATCAACATGGAAGGTGTCAAGACATCCAACCCCCATCCACAATGAAACATCCCCTCCCCCATTGAACAAGAAGAACCTGTAAGACAACTCCCAGTTTATATGGGACATGCCAAAACATCAATCCCCTCCCCCATATACACAGGAGGCTCCATGACATCCACCTTCCACACCAGGTGGTGCCAAGATAATCCTCCATCTGCACGGGAAGTGTCAAGACATCTCCAATTAACAGGGCCAGTGCCACAATGTCTCCAGTCTATAGGAGAGGCATCAAGATATGCCCAACAGCACTCCCTTCAAGATAGCATCCCAAAAAACATTCCCTCGTCTACATGGGATGGCTGGAAGTCTCGTCTCATGCAACCCTCCACACACTACGCATAAAGAAATTTAAAAGTAAACAGGCAACATATATATTAGCCGCAAAAAAAAAAAAAAAAAAAAAAAAAAAAAAAAAAAAAAATTAAAATAGAATAAAATAAAAAAATTGCATAGCATATGGTAGCCTAAGAATGGTGCACTAATTCAACCTGTACTAAATTTCAGTGTCTAAATCATCCCATTATGGTAAAGTGACATAACCTATATAAATATTTGATCAGCTGTAAGTTTCCAATTACTTGCATCTCCAGAGTCTGGTTGGTCTACTCGCACTATCCTACATTATGTTGAGGCAAGATTTAACATATTAATTCAGTGTTGGCAGTATTGCGACAGTTATAGAAGAGACCTAGAGTGTTGACAGCTGCTCCCAGATGGAAGTTCAGAGTTAAGAAAATACAAATTTGCTTCAAGCATCACAATACTGATTTGATGAGAGTTTGAGGTAACCACAAGGATACATGACCTGTTAAAGGTGGGCACTTTTCACCAGGAAATTGTTTTATGCGATATATACCTGCTCAGCAGCATGATGGCAGTTGTCACACGTTCCATCAGTTGACGAGATCCTTGCATGTGCTCCACAATGTATGCAACCCACCTCGCTCACCTCAACAGGCTCGGAAATAATGCGCACACTACTTTCTGATACACTTGTGATATTTTCTGCTACTGTCACTAACTCTTGTGAAGACTGTTGTGATACCTCAAAATTTTCTTCAATAAGGGTGCTACCGATAGTTTCCTCCAAATTATCTTCAAAACAAGGTAAGCACTCAGGGTTAGTGTCACACAATTCTGCTTCAACTATTGTTATAGGTTCTATTACTAAAGGGGAACATTCAAGGGAGTCTATAGTGTCAAGGTTAAGGATTATTTCCTCTTTAACTGGAGTGTAAGGAAGGACGGACTCTTGGTTAAATTCAAATACCTGAGACACCCCAGCAGCAGCAGTCAATTCCACAACAGGAGAAGATTCTTCAGTCACATTAGTTTCAACTTCAGGGGCAGACTCTGCAACAGGGGCAGACTCCGCAACAGGGGCAGACTCCGCAACAGGGGCAGACTCCGCAACAGGGGCAGACTCCGCAACAGGGGCAGACTCCGCAACAGGGCAGACTCCGCAACAGGGGCAGACTCCGCAACAGGGGCAGACTCCGCAACAGGGGCAGACTCCGCAACAGGGGCAGACTCCGCAACAGGGGCAGACTCCGCAACAGGGGGCAGGGGACTCCGCAACAGGGGCAGACTCCGCAACAGGGGCAGACTCCGCAACAGGGGCAGACTCCGCAACAGGGGCAGACTCCGCAACAGGGGCAGACTCCGCAACAGGGGCAGACTCCGCAACAGGGGCAGACTCCGCAACAGGGGCAGACTCCGCAACAGGGGCAGACTCCGCAACAGGGGCAGACTCCGCAACAGGGGCAGACTCCGCAACAGGGGCAGACTCCGCAACAGGGGCAGACTCCGCAACAGGGGCAGACTCCGCAACAGGGGCAGACTCCGCAACAGGGGCAGACTCCGCAACAGGGGCAGACTCCGCAACAGGGGCAGACTCCGCAACAGGGCAGACTCCGCAACAGGGGCAGACTCCGCAACAGGGGCAGACTCCGCAACAGGGGCAGACTCCGCAACAGGGGCAGACTCCGCAACAGGGGCAGACTCCGCAACAGGGGCAGACTCCGCAACGGGGGCAGACTCCGCAACAGGGCAGACTCCGCAACAGGGGCAGACTCCGCAACAGGGGCAGACTCCGCAACAGGGGCAGACTCCGCAACAGGGGCAGACTCCGCAACAGGGGCAGACTCCGCAACAGGGGCAGACTCCGCAACAGGGGCAGACTCTCGAGTCACATTAGGTTCTTCAACCTGCGGTGCAGCTTCAGCTTCAACTAAGGACGGAGAAGATACTGCAACTGGGACATCAATCGGTGCCGATTCCTGGACAAGGCTGGACCCGACAGCAGAGCTTGCTCCTACTACAGGTGTGGAGTCTTCAACTAGTGCTGCTTCCTGTGGTTGTTCTGGGATGGCAGCCTGTTCAATTAGAGTATCAAGTGTGGCATGATCAACTAGCTCTACACACAGAGGCTGAAGGGTTTCCACGGATGTTACAGACATCTGAACACTATCACATTCAGGTGAGGCTTCCGATACCACTTCCAACTCTGTGTGCGAGGGAGCTGGGGAGGCTTCAGACTCCGAGACCTGTTCGGGCTGAGCGAGGGGGGCATTTTGGTCGGCCTGAGGCTCAGGGGGGGTGGGGGATGGGGTGGCCGGGAAAATGGGGGCACTGAAGGGTGATGGAGCTGCCTCGGATGTCGCCTCCGGCAAGCTCTAAAAGGGGCAAGTGGCAAAAGGTAAACTTACCACTGAGATTTTCTAATTTTGTTGAATAATTAAGCCACCCCTACATTATGTGGTCAGTGAATGTACATTCATCCTCCGAACTAACATTCATCCGACAAGTGCTTCCATTCTCAAATTCTTTTCAAACTTACTGAAAGTTTAAAGCAAAAAGAAAGTGAGAAATACAAGTTTCTGAAGTATAACTTGTTAAGCAAGGATACCATTAGGCATTATGTAAGCAAATTGTACTTTACATGCTCTCAATATTTTAAGATTTTTAATACTGTTCTTTAAGTAATTAATGTATGTTCAAAATCCTTTTCATCATAGCTGTGACATTCTTTTAAATAAATGGCAAACTTCAATAATAAAATTGGTCAAACACTTTACATTCGTGTTAGTAATTAAAAGTTCATCATGCTTTGCCAGCAAGACATCACTAAAACTGAGAAAAACCACAAATTCTACATGATATTGGTGGGAGACATTACAGCGAGGTAGTTACGCACCATGCAGAGATCTTCGTATATCTTTACCAACAGTACGCAGAGTTTGGTTCCATTTTTTCCATTGCTCAGTACAAATAAGCATAGTTTACTCTTGCTGGCTGCAACAGTCAAATAGAAACCAACATGCACAGACGTGACAGTAAGTGCAATGAACGGGTGCAGTAGTGGAGGGGCTGACTTGCCATGGCATGAAGTACATAAAATTACACAAAAACAGTCACAGTCAAAAAGAAAGTCAATATGCCTGAAAAACACTACAGTACACCAAGAAAGATGCAGGAAAAAGAATATTCTAAAGAAAATATTTAAGAGTCCTGTAATGGTTCATGCATATGTTCCAGTTAGTGGTGAAACAGTTATCAGTAGCTCAAGATGCAAGAATTCAGTGGCAGAGCTACTGAGCTTTAATTACAGTCCATCTATAAAAAGATGAAATAAGTTGCCCAAGCAATCCAATTTAGATCGTTTAATTTTGCTGTTGGTAAACACTGGAAAAAAAGGGATAATACCCGGGATTCCAGACTTCGCCAATTGTAAATACACATAATCGTATTTTAAATGGACAAAATATAAATGTTAAGGAAACACTGACTGTAGTGTGATTAATGTGCGTGTAACCCCCACTGCAGACGATCAGAGCCAAAGAGGTGTCTTTTCTGATGCAGACTTTCCACAGAAGCACAACAATAATGCAGGGTTAATTACACCCAGCAAACGATGTCGATTAGGAACACGAGGCGACCACCACACTACATAGTAGAGGGTTAACTGCTCCGAGTGCAAGCCGAGCAAAGTGTTATGGGTGCAGCAGCACACATGGTGACACTACCTCTTGAATTGGTGCTGCTGCCTCCTCTTGAGGTGCTGCTTCCACTACTGCTGCTGCTTCCTCTTTCTTCTCCTGGATGGGGGCTGCCTCTTCCTGTTTCTCTTCTGCCACTGGAGCTGCTACACCTTCTTTCTTAACTTCTTCATTCTGTTCATCAGCCTTAGCCTGAAAAATAATACTGCAGATATATATCTAGATACATGTGCATGTGTTTGTATGAAAATAAAATCCATCTATCCTTTAGTAGTATTGTCATTTTCAGGGTGTTCTGACCATGTAGGTCACTCAGCAGTCACTGCAATAAAAAAATATTATAATAAAACTAATAATATTAAACAAGCTATGAACAAACATTCAGTACAAAATAAAACCAAGTAAAATAACCATCACCAATTAAAACCAATTAAATTACCAGGCTATTTATGTCAACAGTTCCCGAAAGGATCAGATCCCTACAGACATCCCATAATAAGAACCAAGAAGGTGGAAAGACACTAAGCCACAAGTGAACTTAAAATGCAAAATAGTCAGCAGCACTCCACAAGCTTCACAAAAAGGAGGAAAGGGAGGTGGAGCACCTGTGAACACGTCGCTATGTACAAGATGTGTGCTCTCAATCCTCAATTGACAGATTAGTCTCAACTTGATCATTTTTGTTGAAGGTTGTTGGGAAGAAGGGAAGGGAAGAGGACCCACATCCCCGTATAACTTATGGAGTACACAACCTACCAGGCCCACTGCTTTCCAAAGACCTAACTAGATATGCACAGCCCATGAAGTCACCAAGGCAAAAGTCTACAGTAGAGCGGGCTCACTACAGCATTTGTGTTCATTTAACAGGACACCAACATAACCCAGGCACCAACACAGCTCCATATCTTTGTGCCCAGCTTTATTTAAAAGACCAAGCTAAGAAATATTAATGGGTTGTAATTATAAAGAGAAACCATTAATTGAGGAATAATTCTAAAATATATAGTCGGACCTGGAAAAAAATGCCAGCTTATGTCAGGTCGAGTGCTTGTCTCTCAATAACCAATCCTGCTGAACTAGCCACAATGACTCACGAAATCGTAATGACACTATTGCAAACAAACCATACCACGGACGGGTATGAACCCACGATCAGAGAGTCAAAACTTCAGACTGTTGTGTTAGCCACTGGGCCAGCTAGCCATAAGAAGATTCATCCAACTAGGTATATTTATACACCATAGGAAGGTTTCGATTTCATGAGTCATGTTGCATTTGTGGTCACAGTGGTGCCTATGCTAACCTTCCTATGGTGTAGAAATATACCTAGTTGGACGACTCTTGTGGCTAGCTGGTCCAGTGGCTAACGCGACTGAGTTTTGAGACTATCTGATCGCGGGTTCTATCCCCGTCTGTGGCATGGTTTGTTTAGCCACAATGTTTGGAGAGTACCAGAAAAGGCAATACGAATCAGACTGCAATCTATCTTCACAATAACTTCTAATTCATTTTCTTTCCATTATTCTGCCACTTATATTACAGACTGTTCCTTCCTCAAATTATTTAGGTTCTACTTATCTAACAGATTTAAAGAGCACTTGACAGATCACTTGGCACTAGTAGCAACAAACCTAATCTATAAACTGAGAGGGAGGGGGAAAAGGAAAATGGAGGAAAAAAAAAAGGGGGGGGGGGAAGGGAAAAAGAGGGAGCATTACTGTAACATCAATCTGGTGAGTAGGGGGTCACAGGTACAATAAAGTACCAATATTCATGGTCCAAGACCATGTGTGCGTGTGTGTGGTGTTTGTGTGTGTATATGTGTGTATATGTGTGTTTATATGTGTGTTTATATGTGTGTATATGTGTGTGTATATGTGTGTGTATATGTGTATATGTGTGTGTTTGTGTGTGTGTGTGTGTGTGTGTGTCTGAGTGTATCTGCGTGTGTGTCTGCGTGTGTGTCTGCGTGTGTATCTGCATGTGTATCTGCGTGTGTGTGTATCTGCGTGTGTGTGTATCTGCGTGCGCGCGTGTGTGTGTGTGTGTGTGTGTGTGTGTGTGTGTGTGTGTGTGTGTGTTGTGTGTGTGTGTGTGTGTGTGTGTGGTGTGTGTGTGTGTGTGTGTGTCTGTGTGTGTGTGTGTGTGTCTGTGTGTGTCTGTGTGTGTGTGTGTGTGTCTGTGTGTCTGTGTGTGTGTGTCTGTCTGTGTGTGTGTCTGTGTGTGTGTGTGTGTCTGTGTGTGTGTGTGTGTCTGTGTGTGTGTGTGTGTCTGTGTGTGTGTGTGTGTGTCTGTGTGTTGTGTGTGTGTGTGTCTGTGTGTGTCTGTGTGTGTCTGTGTGTGTCTTGTGTGTTGTGTGTGTGTGTGTGGTGTGTTGTTTGTGTCTGTGTGTGTGTGTTGTGTGTGTGTGTGTTGTGTGTGTGTGTGTGTGTGTGTGTGTGTGTGTGTGTGTCTGTGTGTGTGTGTCTGTGTGTGTGTGTCTGTGTGTGTGTGTCTGTGTGTGTGTGTCTGTGTGTGTGTGTCTGTGTGTGTGTGTCTGTGTGTGTGTGTCTGTGTGTGTGTGTCTGTGTGTGTGTGTCTGTGTGTGTGTGTCTGTGTGTGTGTGTCTGTGTGTGTGTGTCTGTGTGTGTGTGTCTGTGTGTGTGTGTCTGTGTGTGTGTGTCTGTGTGTGTGTGTCTGTGTGTGTGTGTGTCTGTGTGTGTGTGTCTGTGTGTGTGTGTCTGTGTGTGTGTGTCTGTGTGTGTGTGTCTGTGTGTGTGTGTCTGTGTGTGTGTGTCTGTGTGTGTGTGTCTGTGTGTGTGTGTGTTCTGTGTGTGTGTGTGTCTGTGTGTGTGTGTCTGTGTGTGTGTGTGTTGTGTGTGTGTGTGTGGTCTGTGTGTGTGTCTGTGTGTGTGTCTGTGTGTGTGTCTGTGTGTTGTGTCTGTGTGTGTCTGTGTGTCTGTGTGTGTCAACAATCAATATTTGCAACAGTAACTCATTACAGTTGTAACCGTGTGTGGAAGTGTGAATTGCTCATTACTCTATAATTTGTTCATGATTGTAGCCGTAAGTAACCATTCTTACAGGATTCATTACCTTTGTACCTAGTTCAGCTATCAAAACTTTGGGGCCCAGTCCTTGGGCCCATTACGTACCTCTGTCATGATTGTGACTAGACCTACCTGGATTTCATTACCTTTGTAAATTGTGAGTTCATTACCTCTGTAACTTGCTCAGCTATCAAAACTTGAGTCCAGTCCCTGGACCAATTATGTACCTCTGTAATCTTTTGACTACCGCCCATAGGATGGGTATGGGGTGCATAATAAACATATTAAACTAACTAACCAAGACCATGGAAACCTGCAACCAATAAATATCCAGAGTACTGTCGAAACAATTTTAAAAGTAAGAGGAAACTAGACCACCACATACAAGTGCTAGATCCACCAGGCTATGGGCCAGCAGATAACTAAAAACATCCTGGTTGAACAATCAAAAAGAAGAGCCTGGTTCCAGGCCAAGCTGCAAGGGTAGAAAGAGGTAAATCACTGGGTAAAACATCATTGTTGGGCATGAATTAAAAACAGGAGTGTGCACGCACGGAAAAGAGCAAAGCTACTCATTTCACGGAGAGCGAGCGAGCGAGTTGCAATTTACAAAGCTCTAGGGTCTAGAACCATGTGGTTATTCAACACTTGTCACATAAAAAAGGTGAAATAAATTCATGTCAACAATACCAAATAGCATATGAACACCCTGGTTTTAATCTTGGTGAGGGGGGCACTTAAATCCCAGCTGTGCCACTGGAAGTGGAACTGACTAGGAAAATGGGGAGAGACTACAGAATGGGAAATAAATCTCACGAGAAGCTCAGTAGAATAAGCAAGGAATCAAAAACTTCCCAAAGTAAACCATACCACGGGCGGGATTTGAACCCGTGGTCAGAGTCTCAAAAGTAAGGAAATATGAGATGAAGTGCTGAATTATGGGGTGCTATCTTTTGCATACGCTTCACTAATGACCCTCTTCCAAGCAGGCAAAATGGGCAGAGCTGGAAAATACAGAACCTTCACTGCTTACATAAATTCAAATTCCTCGATTTCTGGAACTAGATTCCTTGACACCTAGAATATTCTGGAGGAGCTAGTCCCAAACCTGGACACCAAAACAATCCTTTTGAAAGGAAGAGGTTTGGCAAACAGTGCAAAACACCTCAAATGAAAGGAAAGCACAGGTACAATGAGTACACAAAGAAAACTCAAGGGTATGGGGAATAGACACCAACACCCCCTACCATGCACAAGGGTAATTACCAACAAACTCCTGGCTGCCTGTCGACAAACTTTCAAGTTCTTAAGTTCATTTCTGATCAGCCGGACTGTAGTGCATATGTTGGTCTACATGTGGCTAGCATAAAGAGCCTGGTCAATTAGGCCAGCAACCTAGAGGCCATGTCCGGTACAAGGCCACGGGGGCAGTGGCCCCTGAAACACAGGTAGCCTGCCTGACCTGTGAGATTTATAAACTCACTCACCATGAGTTCAAGATCCATCCGTTCTATGATTTGAGAGTCATGCGGATACTAAAGCACATGGAATAGCAGGAACCTCAGTGAACTAATTTAGAGATGGAGATCATGTCTTGACAAACTTATTGGAGTTCTAACATTATGTGATAAATGGTTTTGAAAACTGACAAGTCGAAGATTGAGAGAGAGACTTATCAATAAAGGGTCCCATATGTTGCATAAGTGTTTATCTCCTCTCCAAGATAAAAACAAGACAGGGCAAGCACTAGACAAGCTTGGCTCAGGGGCTGGGCTGAGGGAGTTGGGAAACTTATCAAAAGGTACTGATATCGAAGGTAAAGGGTTGGATAAACCACATCTTCTGAGACTGCAATGAATCACTTCAAATTGTTCTCCACCCCAGACTGATTCAAGCGCTACAAGTACAAGCAGAGGTGAACCTTTGACGAGTTCTGAGTTTTTCCTACTCCCAGAGCCCGGCCTTGAGCCAGGCTCGTCTGGTGCTTGCTTGGTCAACCAGGCTGTCACTGCTGGTGGCCCGCTGACCCACATCCATCACAGCCTGGTTGATCTGGCACCTGATGAAGATACTTTTCCAGTTTCCCCACAAGCCCAAGTCCTCCCACAAAGAGGATAGTGTAGGAAGAGGGGAGGGGAGGAGGAACAACAGCTTTCCAAGGTT